AAAAAAAAAAAAAAAAAAAAAAAAAAAAAAAAAAGCGTCGGAGCTGTGTTACATTTTTCTAGAAATCAAATTTATCTTTTTTTATATCGATTCATTTCATACGCGAAATCTTAATTTTTTTTTTTCTTTTTTTTAAATAGATAATTGCATATAATAAAGTCAATATGAAACTATAAATTACGTACTATGTACGTAAATGAAAGATTTGTAAATATCTTTGAGAATTTTTAACTTTTATATATATATATATATTTTTTTTTTCTTTCTTTTTTATTTCATTTTTCCTTTAGATAGATATCTATTCTTTGGTTTTAATATGTCAAGTTTTCTAAATACTGAAAAATACATAGCTCAGACAGTCGTGTGCGTTATAATAAATTAGTAATATGTATCTAAAATAGAAAATAAAATATTGTAAATGACATCCAATGGCAGATGATCACATATAAATTAATATTAAATAAGTTGCATATAGTGATGCGAATTATATCGTAATTCATTTAATATTAATATGTATAGTATTTACGTGAATAAAAAAAACAGAATAATAATAAAAATAACGTGTTGAGAATTTAAAATGGCATAAATAAATGTTAAAGAGTACGTGTATAGTAACATGTGCAAAATATGTGAAGTGAAAAATCGTACAGCTTATAAAGATTCAGTAGTTATAATATTATATTAAAAAAAAAAGAAAGAAAATTGTAATCTTAAGATCTTATAATATAAGAATACAAAAAAAAAAAAAAATGATAAAATAACTTGTCCATAACTTATAAACATTTTCCCGTTTTTAAAATAATTATCTGTTTTCTGCTATACATTACATATGTATGTAATTCTCTTAAACTGAAATAAATAAGAAATATAATAGCGCTATATAATAAGCATTTGAAAAGCTTTAAATCAAAATCCTAATCAATAGCATTATAACATGGATGAAAATAATAAAATGTTTTTAGACCTAATACATAATATTAATATATTCAGAAATTCATAAAAATATCTATTCATCGATATACTAGTAATTTTTATTTAATGTGTTTGTTTTAAACCAACCATGGAATGTTAATTAATGTTAAGAAATCTTGTCAAAAGAATATAATAAACTACATTTAATTTTCCTTAAATGTTTGAATGTGTCTTAATTACGTTAATATAATATAAGCAACAATAAAATTTAAAATATTTATTATATTTGCTAAATATTAAACACGTGTTAATTTGTATTAAACTTAAAAAATTTGCAAATTATTTACAGTTTTATTAGTAATAAATTTGTGAAAAAATACAGAATAACAGTGTTAATCTATTATTACACATAATTTTAATTTAATCTGATTGAAGTTTCATTTTAAAGTATTTAAAACATTTACTTCTAACATATTTTTTTCATGTATCCTTCTTAGGTGTATAGAGGAATACAGAAGATTGTGTGGGAACACGTTTTCATGGATTGAAATATTTTAATCTCCTGTTTCTCTATTCAGCGGAGTTTGAAGTGCCTTAAAATCATGTGAGTATAATTTCATTATTATGAAATAACTTTAATTTATTAGTTTAAAAAATATTTTATCACATGAAGTGATGAAATAACTTTACATTTATAAAAAATTATTAATTTTATTTATTTATATATGTTATCTCAAGGTATATAGATTAAAGCTTTTGCTTTTTGTTTTTGGAAATTGCATTAATATTTATTAAAGCATAGATAAAACAGTTTTAATTTAGTGATAAAAGCATCAAATTTTGATTTGCATGTTTAATTTAATTTGCTTCTTTTGTTAGTTTATGTTAAAATCTATGAGATAGTAAGATTTTTTTTCAGGCAATGGGATGTACAGACTATGCACAATTATAATTACGTCAGTTGAAGAAATAATGGAATTTAACTATTAAACAATGACTGGTATGGTAAAATACAAGATACATATTTTAAATATCCTCAAAGTTCAATGTCGGTTCACAATGCTTCCAATGCAATAGATAAGATTTTAAAAAATATTTATTCTGTGATTTTATAAACTGTTAGAAAATAGAATTAAAAATAATTAATGATATAAAAAATAGTTTACAAAATGATAATTTTATTAGATCTTTCAATTAGATTTAATTCAATAAAATATAATCTTACTCGTTTTCATCATCTAATTTAAACTCTTTATGATAATATATAAATAACTTAATATTTAAGTCGTTTAAACTTTCGAATAAAATGAAAATCTTCATTTCATTTTAATAATATTTTAGAAGTATAAATTTAACTTCTCATTTCATAATATAGTAGCATAAATGTATATTATACGGATATGTATCCGTTATCTAAAATAAAAAGATTCAATTTAAAATAAATATTGAAAATAAGGATGGAGTGAATATTAATCTTTATTTTGTGAAGAATGACAAAAATAATAAGGTTATTATTTTAGTTTATATTTGAATTTTCCGCGCAATATATGAAATTATAATTTTTTCCGGCAGATGGCGCAAGTTGCAGTTCGCTACCAAAATGGCGTCTGTAAACGCGGTGTGTACGAAGTAAATTGAAATATTTATTCTGTTTTCTGTGTAAACGGTTTTAATTAATATTTAAGAATAGTTTAGAAGTATCTAGAAAGTAAGTGGAGATAAAGTGTAAATTTTTATTGTGTATCAAGATGATTAGCGAAGTGAGAATAACGTTTAACTTGCATGGTTTGGCGCGCTTCATCCATTCACAGCTATAGGTATGTACTATTTGAAATCGATATTGATATTTGAAGATTATTAGAAACATATATTGTACATTTGAATTTTCATATTTTTGTGTTAATATTTTTGAAATAAATTATTACCAAATGAAAACTTTTGAACGATTCTCATATTTTACATTGACAAGTAATTTATTATTTTATATACTTTGATATTTTCAGCTTAACGTTCGAATTAGTTTTCATTTCAATTATTTTTACAATTTTATATAACAGATTTTTTATTTCTTTTCTTAATTATATTCTTTTCTTAATATCATATTACTTTGATTGATATTACGTTGATTATTATTAAATATTTATTTTTTTTTTACAAAAACAAAATAATTGTTCATTTTTAGTTTTTTTTTTTAAATAGATAAAATATTTTGTAATTTTTTAAAAAATTCATTATCACAAATTCTTGGCTTAAAATGTTAAATCATTAAAACCCACTTTAAATGATTAAATAGGATTATACTGAACATAAGTGTATAAATTGCTTAGAAACAATATTCTTATTTATTTATCACACACCAATATACAAAAATGAACTGTATAATCAATATCAGAATATAATATACTACGAAATTCAAATATATTTAATAAAGATATATCTGAGTATCTTACAAGATTAGAATGATGCTTCAACTTCGAACAAAAATGGTCTACAACATTCTTTGCAGTTGGCACAGAAATTCTGGTAGAAAAACGTTTTTCTACGGTCGCTCTAAGGATTATAAATAAGTATTAATTTACGGGACCTTACGTTCTAACAAGTCGCCTAAGTATTCGTGAATGAAAATAAGGGGATTCAAGGATTTTTCTCTGTCTTTTTTCTCTAACTTTTTACCGTCTCTTTTCATTTTCATTTTCTAACTAAACTCACGGCGTTGGTCTCGATACTCGAGGAAAAATGTTTTGCTATTTTTCCATAATTTTTTTTTCTGCTTCTTAATTTTTTTCATTGAAGAAAATTGCGGTCAAAGTAGTACGCAACGTCGTAAGGGGAAAAAATGACGTGTTCATCGTTGCAAATAAAATTTATCGACGCGATAAAAGTTTGATAACTATTCGTAACTAGCGTTTGGTTGCTTCGAATAAAGTTCGATGGTGCGCGTCTCCGGTAAACGAAAAGTCTGGTGTGTGGCGCCATCTACAACCGCGCTAGTACCTATGAA